CCCTCCTTCCTTCTCTTCTTCTCTCCTCCCTCCTCTCTCTCTCTCTCTCTCTCTCTCTTTTTCTCTCTCTTTCACTCTTTCTCTCTCGCCTCGGTTTAACCCCTGTCGTACTCCTCACTTCGCTCTCCTTACGTCCTTCCGCTCCTACCACGGCGACGAAACACGAACGCCGACGAATTTTTATTGTTACTTCTCGCGCCGCTTCCTCTGACCTCCCGCCGCCTACCTCCATCCACCCAACGCCTTCTCCTCTACCTTTTTTATGCGCCTTTTAACGATCAGCAGTAACTGCGCCCATCCGCCACCCCCTTACTTGCGCCTTGCCTTGCCTTGCCTTACCTCGCGTTGCCTCGTTTTGCTCGTGCCGAGCCTTTTCGGAAAACGGAACAGATGCGACCGAACAATGGGAAAAGGGATGTGCGTCGAGATATATCGCTTGCTGAGTTTGCATTTGGTTTTCGCTCGTAATGTCTCTCCGACGCGATACGGGAAGTATAATCGAGCTAATCGGAAGTGACGCCGCACAGTCTTATCTATTCCGACTGGTTTCGAATTTCAGATCTCGCGAGATGGATATCGCGTTTTAGCAGTCTTTACATTTAGCTCTCTTAAGAACTATTAATATTACATCTTTCATAAAGCTATATATCCCCTATAAATCTTCCACTAGACAATGAAATATTACCGGATATGTGTGTAACAGCGAAGCGCATGCTCACATAATCCATGCTTTACATGAATGAAAGGTAAGTATGCTAGATAGATGGGCCTTCACTTTTCTTAACATCAAAGAGATTAACGCGATCATTTTGACGACTCGGAAGTACGATCCCGGTTACTTGATGAAACTCTGTTTCCGATAGCTTATCATTTTTAACAGTGATAGTTTTGTTTTTTACTGATACTGAAGTTTTCGCCCTCGCCTTTCCTATCAACTATTATGCTCTTTACATCTTTCTCCGTGTAAAGAGATGTTGAAATAATAATAAGAAAATCAAATCGGAGAAAACAGAATGACGTTTTTTTCTAAATAGAAAGCATTTAATTTCAATTCTTATCGCTAATAAAGATTCGCGGGTTGCGAAAGCGCGTCTCTTCTAAACAGTAGATTCCGTCATTTCTAATCGCGCACGTGCACGCGCACGTCACACTGTTGCCTCGCAACTGTGCGTTCCACAACGGGAATTCCTTTACCTATACTACGTCGATCCACTTCCGCGTTTTCACGTCCGCCGAATCCGTCTCTGTCGTGCAGTCGTGCGGCGTCCACGTCGTGACGTCGCGATAATGCGATCCAGGCATGGTTACTGCCGACACTCACGGCGCGCGGTATCCTCGCGAGATCGCGACGCTCCGACGGCTCTCAGCTGCTCCTCATTGCCACAAAACGCGGGACGGAGAGGCGGGGGAAGAGGCTTCATTACGTCCAATTCCATGTCCTCTCGCCGGCAACCGGCGATGGGTGTCGCGCAATTACGTGCGTGCGAGCCGACGACGGGGATTACGCGGGTGCGTGACGATTATCGCGCGCCGTCTCTCTCTCTCTCTCTTCTCTCTCTCTCTCTCTCCCTCTCTCCTCCTTTGGCCGCGCTTCAAAATGTATCCGCACTATCGGAACTCCGATGCGCCGATCATCGGCCGGTGAACGATGTGCACGTAACAGGTGTAACTAACTCCTCCGAAGAGCGACGAGGAGTCCTGCCGCTTCGGCGGAGCAACAGTTTCCCTAAGTTCGGAAGCTGTCCGCGCGCAAAGGACGACGACCCCTCTCTGAAGCCACCGCCTTTAGAACTCACTCACTGAACCGACACCTTTTGCCATGCCTACCGGCGTTCGCGGTCTCGTCTCTACTTCGACGCCCGTTTCACCCTGTCCGCGTCGTCGTCTTCCACGTTGAATACTTTTGCTTCACCTTCCCGTTCACGCTGGCCGACGCGTCGCGACGCGTCGCCGTCGTCACAAGCGGTCGCTGGTAACCGCTGACGATACGATGTGCGTGCACACTCGCACGCGTACCACTCGGAACACCACCGAGATTTCGAAAGCCGGTTCCACCCTCCGTCACCCTTTTCCGAACGCGCACTGGTCGATCCTCCAAGATCGTGGAAGTCTCAAGAGGAGAGGCAGAGGAACACGGCGCACACATGCAACTCGTGTCGCCCCTGCCCTCTCGTCCGTCCGCTCGCCTCCTCCACTCTCCGTCGAACTTCCACTGTCGGCCTTCCTTTTTAGGATCCCATTGCTACGGAGGACGAAGATGAGATACGAGAGAGAGAGAAGGGATGGAAGATGGGTCGTCGGAGAGGAGGACGGGCGAGAGCGGAAGGGAGGGTGTCTCGAGGAAGGATTCGCGAAAATTTCTCGACCACCAGCGGCAGCTGCGTTCCGAAATGAGGAGCGACGCGAACGAGAGGTGGCGGCGGGAGACGACGAGCGGCGGAAGAAGGGAGAGAACTACGGAGGGCGCGCAGCGGACAGAGGGGGAGGGGGGGGACCGAGGGGGGAGGACGAAGGAACGAAGGAGGGCGCGAGGCGGGAGAGGTCACAAAAGTGGAGGAAGAAGTGAAAACGACGAGTGCACGCAACACCGACGCGTGCGGAAACGTGCCTTCCGCGCGAGTACCGGAGCTCTCCCCTTGACGGACTAACCGAAAGGCGAAGAAGGGGAAGTCGGGGTAGAAGAGGGCTGGTGGGGGACGATGACGGCGACGCGAAGGGAGAGGATGGAAAAGGGGGCAGGTGGAAAAGGAGGACGGATGGTCGTAAGAAGAAGAAAAGAAGGTTTCGGGCGGCGGCCGGGATCGCTCGGTTGTCTGTGGTCAAGGCACACAGCTTATAGGAGTATTCTCTGCGCGTCCGACGATGCCCGCCTGCTACCCCTCGGCGACGCCGAACGAGGGGTGAACGCCGCCGACGTGGAAGGGTGGACTGAGGAGGAGGTCGTAGAGCCTGTCTCGCGAGCCTGATTTCGCCACCCTTCCCTGTACGGGAAATTGCACGCGCGGCGCCTAATTCTTCTCGTAGCTTCTCGTATCGATAACAGGGACGCCGGGGCGCCAATCTCCTCTCTATCAGTTTCGAATTTCGAGGGATTATCTAACTTTGCTTGAACACGAGTTGTCTGTGTTATTTTAATAAATAACTACCAAAGAGCAGTCTTTGACACCAAAGACTGTTACGCGGTCTCTTATTTCTCTGTTACTAAGTTTATCTTCGATATTGAATCGTATAGCCATATTGAGCGCGGTCCGAATGTGAGATTTAATCTTTATAGATCGGATATCGATTACCATTGTCAAGAAAAGAAATAATTATATATTCAAGAATTTATCTACAAAATACGTTTAAAAAAAAATGTTAGTAAAAAAATGATAGTCATCGAATCGTAAATTATAGTACGCGATGTATACGTGTGTATACTCATATAATCGATTCATGAAATGGAAAAATTATATTCGCGATGATTCAATTTACGAAATATGTCAAACGTATTCTCGAACAAATTTAGAGTACATTTGACATTTTGAAATAGTTTATTGAAGGCGTGATTCAGTGAAAGAAATCCCAGTTATCTTCGTCATAAATAGATCATCAGAAGGAAGACGGTTACTCGCCAAACGCATGTACGAAAACTTGAAACCGCACCGGAGAGAGGAAATTACTCACAGAATATTATCGGATTTTCCGGCAGCGTGGTACCACCCTGTTGAACGTGCAGGCGCGAGTAGGAGTCACGCCTGGCACATAGTCAGCCAGGATTCGGCGTTTCGGTTCGCAACAGGTCTCAACCACCAGCGTGTTTTCTCTCTCTCTCTCTTCTCTCTCTCTCTCTCTCTCTCTCTCTCTCTCTCTCTCTCACACACACACACACACACACACACACACACACACACACATATCTCTCTCTCTCTCTCTCTCTCTCTCTCTCTTTCTCTCTTTCCCTCTCCATTCTCTCTTTCTCGTCGCATCTCTCTTCCTCTCTCAGTCTCTCTCGCTCGCTCCTCTCGTTCACACACTGATACAGACTCCGCTTCTACGCTATATATTCGCGACACAGAAACTTGCCATGCGGAACATAGGCAAACGTATGCACATACGTGTATACGCTCACATTCGCACGCTCCAGGAAATATATATATATATATATATTATCTTGCTGTGGCACATGTTCACGTGCACGTGCACCCACGCAGCAAGCACGCTGCTGATACGCCTCTATTGTACGCGAGATCAGCGCGCGCGCGAGCAGCTGATCACTGTGCATCTTGGGGCATCTCCACGCGAGGATGTCTTTATATACTCATGGTATGTACGCATACATACGTACGTCAAAGTATAGTATATACCGCACTTACATAGGTATAAACGCGACTTGTCATCGAGAGAAATGACTCGGCGTTTTACTCACCGACTACGAAGACCATATTCTTTGTCCATCGCAGCAGCTCCCGTCGGATGTGTCTGCGTTCCTGTATGCAGCGGGCATAGGGGCAATCCGCCATTTTTGAAATCACATCTTAGGATGTGTGTGCGCGTGCCGGCCGGGTGCGCCTGCCTCGTGTTCCCGCGTGGATGTCCACCCCCTCCACCGCCGACGCTCCTCCGTCCTCCTCGTCGTCGTCGCCGTTGTCGCCCTCGTCGTCGTCCTCCCGTACCTCCTCCTCTTCCTCTTTCTTGCTCACCCTCCTACCCCTTCCACCCCTACGATCCTAGTTTCCCTTCCGTGTCTCTTTCCGATTTCCACCCCTCGTCGCTCCCTTCTTCGTTCGAACCCCTCTCCTTCTATCCGCTCCTCTTTCGCCGACCGTTTCTCTGTCTTTCAGCGCGCGCCGTGAGCATGAGATGTGCGTGAGGGAAAAGGGTAGCGCGCGTGTATACGTCACCGCGCGCTAACGTGCGCGTTGCCGAGTGCAACGTCACGCGTGATGTAGCGCGTCGGTAGAAGCGACCGAAGTCACCGTCGTTGTGGACCGCCGATAGCGGTGGTGATAGCAGCGGTTGTAGTGGTAACGGCAGTGGAGGTCTTGTCGTCGTCG